CAAATAATGATCAGTCTTTATAATACAGTTTTCTTTAAGTGAAAGCAAAACTTCTCAGGCATCTATGAAATTGATACTAGCATTCTCTGGTTTGTTTTTTGAATTCATACGCTAATTTACAATGTAATGACCTTTCCATGGATGACCTCTGAGAAACAAAGCTAGCGTCACAATCAAACTTCTGTTTTGACTCTGAATGCACACAATTTGAAAGAGGGATTGTTCACTAGGTACATCAAGTACTTTACCTCAATACCAAGATAAATGTAATCCTTTTTACTCTGTAAAACACGTGAGCCTTTGTTGTCATCCGTGGCATTATTCAACTCACAAATGCATGTATGTATGTAACTTTTTGTCTACACTGTGGTTACGTCACGACTAAAAGGATCGCCTTAAATAATTTTCTTGGCCATATGAAATCAGTCCGAAGTACCTCTATAGCAACGTAAATATGACCCTCTTTACTTTGTAGGACAGACGAGCTTTCATTTCCTCCCGTAGCATTGTTCAACTCACAAATGTAATTCCCTCCTCGAGTAGTAGGTCGAACATTAATGGACACACAGTTGGGCTCCAGAAAACAAATCACTCTACAGCTTCCCTCATGAGGAACCTCCACACTCCTGATTTCGTGTCCTTGCATGACTCTGTCTTGTTCTGGTTGACTCCAAACAATGTGGCGGCATCCGTCATCTTTTTTTTAGCAAATACCAAATCAGTGTGGAGAAAAGGTATTCATATCATTGTTCACCTTTTGGTTTTGGATCGCATACGCAGCAAAAGGAGCAAAGCACGCAGGGCAAAACTTTTCCTCCAACTTGGTTTGGATGCGTCCTTGTCATTTCTTTCCACGTCGCGAAGGGAGAATCCAAGAATCCGAGAACACCTTCGCGACGTGGAAAGAAATGACAAGGACGCATCCAAACCAAGTCGCTAGACACCTTAATCTTCCTAATCATTCTAAACAGCATATGGCAGTCTGCGGCCTTTCCTTAAATCTAGGCAGTTCGGAAAGCCGTAAAACACTAGAACAAAAATTTATATTCCAAATCGGCACCCTTAATCCCCAAGGAATCAACGAGCGCTTTTCATTCAACTGATTTATTGCTGTTTTCTCGTCACCATATTCCAATAAATGGCGTAGCTCCACTTTCTGCATATAAACCCACACACAAACCACAATTCCTCCAATCGCTCTGGCGAAGGGCTAACGCTAGAAACGTCCGCTTTTTTAGCCTTTACGGTGGTTAATTTACGTTTTCAACTCAGTTGTTAACACTAAATTACCTGCTATACTCTCCCACCGACGCAGCACCACGATTTCTTTAGAAACTTACCCCTTTATTCATTTATAAAACACTAGCTGTCTTTCTGAAGTTATGTGAAGCGGTAATTCGTGTTTCATGAGCTGAGGATTTATGCTCAGAAACTCCAGTTTACTTTCTAAAGCTCTTCACTTGTGAGATAGGTGATTGTTTGGCGACTATTTTGGATTTGCGCCCCCTGGACCCAATTTCCGCGCTGCCAGGGCCAGAAAATCGCTTCTTCTCCCGGGAAGAGACCCTTAAAAAGACGTTTTTACCAAACTCTTTTGGCATCAGAAGTGAGGGCTGGTGACCTTTGATTGACATTTCAGGGTCTCCGCCCCCTTGGTCCAATTCCTGCGCAGCCTGGACAGTTGGGATGTAATTCAGTGAGCATACAATCTCTTAGCAAATTCTCATTCCTTCCTAAAGAAACTTAGTTTACCTGAACAACCACCACCATCTCCAACTGATCCTTCCTTGCAACTACAACCATAAGAGCTATTTGTGTTTACACAGGTCGCATTCACACCACAAATGATGCTGGAATTTGCGCACTCGTCAATAGCTAAAGAAAAAAGATAACGTAAGCTAAGGGAAAGTAATTTAAAAGGTTGATAAAGGATAA